TATTTATTATTATATTTATTTTTATAAGAGTGTCACATCCCATTTGGATATCTTTGAACTTTGTCATGACTTCTAATGAGCAGCATTCATTTGAACAAAAAGAACGCTGGGTTTATGGTGTGAACCTCGCTAGGCAGCGCAAAAAATGGTTAGGCGAAATTGTATCCTAGTCTACTTGACCTGCTCCGGGATAACTTTTTGCAGGTTAGAGCCTAAAGATCCAAGCAGATTGAATGCTTTGTCACACGTATGTTCTTGTTCATGTTGTGTTGTGTTGTTTATCAAACATTTTTTCTGTCGGGTGGAAAAACACATTTAATTTATCTGACCTGTAATCATCATATTACATGATTGGTTTAGTGGATGGGGCGTATCAACATGCGTATAAGTGTACTGTCATTTCAATAAATTCTGTTGGAAAATTGAAAGACGATCTCGTAATGGTGTTTGAGGAGCCGCATATATATATATATATATATATAACCAATGATGAACGCGGGATTGATGGACAAACAGGCCCGACGCAAACCATAGTGCGAGGCACAAGCAGACCCAATTGATTCACACGTATTATCGTTTGACAACGAGTCCTAGTCTGGATCGAAACGTCACAATAAATACTATCATTCAGTGCTCGCCTTCTCCTTTTCAAAAATACATATACTGTTCGGACTCACGTAGCTGATGTATGCATGAGATATCGCGCCCCACATACCGCCACAACATAAGTGCGTCAAAAATGGGTCTATTACAGTGTAACCGGACTTTCGATCTCTTCGTGCGCTGGTACTTTATGATATTGGATCAAAGAGACAGAAACGTTCAGCCCTGTAACTGAATACCAACCAGTACACCATGTTCATGAGATGCGCTAGACCACAAGTCAAAGTCGTCTGTTCAAAGGTCACTGCTGACTCATTCCCGTAGAGCGAGATTAAAGTAAAGATGTATACTGTATTGGCCAGGTTTACTTACAAAGAACCTGGTTTAAAACAACGATGTGGCGAACAAGCTTACTTTCAGTGCATTGTCTGTTGGCCAATTACAGCACATTATATAACTGAGGGAGACACTTTTAGACGTTTGATCGACCGAATGGGAGAACGCCATCCAGCCTGGATCGGTCAGGGACCGATAAGTGCAAGTGCTAGTGTGATCGCCCTATATATGGCCGAAAAGAATCAGATCGTGGATGTACGGGAATCGTTCCGTCCAATTTATTCAATGATGTAGCTGCCTATTAAGAACGTTAAAGCTCGATGGCTATCTACAGCAGAGGTGATAACGATTAGAATGAACAACCCCACCCCCACTATATGTGCACAGAAACAGAGCGTGAAATCCCGTGACCATGTGTCCGAAGTGCCCCTACCTGACATTATAGTCAAACATTCACACTCCGCAAGTGATTTTTACCACTTTTGCGNTCTACTCCCCCCCCCCAATCCCTCAAATCCCATGATACATATACTATAAACCTGAGTTGACTCTCTCCACGGGGTTTCCCCCGAGTTATATAACGTGCCGCGGTTAGCCAGTAGAGAAAGCACTTAGAGCAAGCTTGTTCGCCAATGAATCCAATGGATCTATCGGAATTATTAACTCATTTGAAAAACAGTCAAAGAACCTGGGGTAAATAAACCGCCCGCAAATAACCCCGTTCCGGTCAACCCAATTGATGGATCAGTAAAATGATTTGCCGGAGATGAAAGACAGATACGACCTGCGGTCGTCTGCATTCAACCACATTTTACTTCAATTCATGAATCAAAAATAAATTGTCCATTTCGCGGAATATGCCCGTTGGTGAATTTTTGGTGAATTCATTTTTAATCCATTGCAGTAATATTTATATGCAATAAAATTCGGTAAGCTGAAAGGTCCTGAAAGCACGTTGTTTGGATTACGCAATCGAAATTCCCTTTGTTTGATTATGGTCTCATGAACAAGCGAATTTCTCTTCTTTTAGACAAGTGATTTTGAGAACTTAGATAAGTTTTCGTTGTGCGCATAACTCAGACTTGACGAATCGGATGCTTATCGCCTCTGCGGTCGCTAACATCTAAAACCGTATTGCTCTGGGAGGCGGTGTGGTGAGACTCGATAAATGATTATAAATGCCGAGCTCATGTCAACCAAATGCCCCATCACTACTAGATGAGTAACAATCGAGCTTGACATTGCTCCACCCTACCCTGTGTGAGACAGCGTGGGTTCTTTGATATTTTGAGATAACTGCCTTATCGTTCGACCTGCATAAGTCGCACCACATGTGCACTTGAATTGATAGACATTCATGAATGAGGTTAGCTCAGCTGGTAGAGCGTGCGCTATTCAAAAGCTTAGGCGGCGTCCATGGGTGGGTTTGAATTCCACCAAGGCAAGTGAACATTACACAATTTAAACATAAGCAGTTTACCTCTGTTGTGATATCAGATGTTTGGTGACGTAAAGAACACTCATCTTAGCATTAAAAGTGAATTGCGCTGCGGCAGATAGGACTTTACTGACCTTGTCAGCGGTGACATCTCCATTGAATGAATGTTTTTTTAATAGCAACCTCTTCTCCGCATGCACTGCTTTTGCTGACTAGTTCTGTTCAGTTGAATTACCGACGATAAACTTCTAAGGATGGCCATTTTCTAGTAAGGTTCTCCTCACTTGATTAATGTGCCCTCGACATTGACTAACACTATCCATTATTGGATGCGTTGTGTAATTCCGTTCTGAGAAGATCAGGTACACTGACATTCACGGTTAGCCTGGGTGTACTCGTCAAGTGAAATATGAGGGTATGTATTAGGTGAATCAAAAAGGAATCTCCATTGTACTACTATAACTGTAACTTCGTCCTTGTGAATACAGTAATTGATGCCATTGTAGTCACATGTGCATTCACAGATGAGCACTTTTATAATGACAACTTAAAGAACAATCTAAGTACCTGGTCCATAAAATGACACTCAATTTATCAACTGAAGGAATAGGCTTTTTGACAAGATTCATTCATATTTGTATGCCTGATTCTCGCCGCGCTCTTCGTGTGTTATTTGGCCACATATCCCGGAGTGATGTCACCTGACTATTAACAAATATGTCTTCTGACCTCCCTAGGTAAAAATCTTAGAAAATCTTGTTCGATTGGAAGTTTTATAATACCACTATTTTCAAATGAAAATGTGAAAAGAGAAGTTAGTATGGCAGTATTGCAGGTATCTCAAGGGGAGCGTACTGTAATCAGATACAATGGTTTTCTTGGGTTGGCACCGGTCTGCAAAATAGTCAAAACTTTATGGTAAACAAGGGAGGGGTCAACAAGGCAAAACCAGGATGAGGAAAAAGTATTTTTGTTGGAAATCGCTTCGGAAATCTTAAGTACTCTTGCCCTAGCGTTAATATAAACTGAACGAAATGACCCCTCGATCGACGTGGTGTTGTGTCATAGACACGCGGTTGGCAATTACCGAGCTGGGTCTATTATTTTAAATGTGTTCCCAAACTCGATTACGCAATTATCGGTCTATTCTGCTTATATTTGTGACTGTACTCACTTAGAAATTAGGGGTTCAGATGCAGGTATTCCTTAGTCGGCGAATTCGTACTCTTGTGCTGTGTACTACTCTTGGTTTGGTTGCATAGAAAATTCTACTGGTAATAGATTGCAGATATCGTTGGAACACATTAGTTATATCATCTTTGGTTGAAGAGAGAACAAACTGTAGACACTCGTCACAATGGGCTTCTCAGTCTTTGGATTGCTTCATCTTTGAACAAACTCTTCTGGATGACACTTTTTCAACAGTGTGTCGAGCAACAAGGTTATCTAGCTGTTTATTGTATTATCAGTGCAAATTCTTGGGGCTCTATAGTTTAGGGCGCGAGCGAAACATTTTATGGGTTGGGTACAAAGTGGATGAACCAGGTTGCCCAATGGTAGACACAGTTCCATCTGGATTTCTTCTGATATGGACATTTAGGATACAGTGGCACTCGTTTCGTTCATTTTCCATGGTGAATCGTACGGTCATTTGGGACCTTTGATGATGTTCTCCGTTTGCTTTGAATTGCTCGCAATAATGAGGATATCGTCATACTATTTTCTGCATAACAGTATTTTCTCAGTGAATTCTGAACCCGAGGTTGCCAAAGCGTCGTGAATCGTTAGTCGTTAGTCCCAAAGGGCTTTCCATGGGAAAGCTGTCAAGCCTTATGTCCCTTGTAGACCTCCATGTTTGACTGTATCAGAGCTATCTTTCACAGTATAGTTAATCATCAAATTTCTTACTGGCTAAAGTAGTACGCTGACAAGCCATTACGTCACTTGTTGTGGTGGCGAGTTCCGCATAGGTGGGATTGGCCGCGATGTTCTCGCAACTTAGGCACTACATAGATTTGCGGCGAATGGCTTATTTTTCCCTTATCGCACCATGTTTTCACAGATGAAGTGGTCTTGGAGAACGTAAATTGTGCACTATTGCGAAAACAACTTCCCTTTGAAATATAAACATTTTTTTAGTGGTAAAAACGAAACCGCATGAGTTACAATCGATTTGATGAGAAATTTTGCAAACGCTCAATTGAAATCCCTATTGCTGGATGCAATGAACGACCATATTTGAAGCAGGTTACTGGAGTAGTGGAGTAGAGTAGACAAAATCGCAGGTAGAAGACATACTTGTTTCGTAAGTCACGGAAATGGGCAATGTTTTGCTTACATACTCCACCAAACATCATCACCGGATAAGATATATTGATTACGTTTTAGAGTGAAACATATTACGAAAAACTACTACCATGTCTTCTCATGGCGTGTTTCTCGATGAAGGTATAATAGGAATGCTTTTGAAAGTTTGCATCAGACAGAATAAAACTATACTGGAAAGAATCCCATCACACATTCACTCACGATTACCAAGCAGTTTTCAACATTTTTTGTCCAACGTTTTGTTCGGGGAAGGTTTGCGCTCACCCGTGCATTCATAACGTGGCAGTGAACATGCTCACTGTTGAACATTCGCATTTAGATATAATTTACGCGCAGAATCGATATATATATATATATGTATATATGTATATATGAACATAGAATGAAAAATCTCACCAACCACCACCAGTTCGGAACCATTCGGTGAACCGTTCACGTGGGACGCGCATGAGGACATGTTCGGACCGGTGTCCAGGCTGCTCCTGGTTAGGATGGTCACACCAAATGGGTAGTTGGTCAGTCCAGGTGAACCGATTTTGCCCAGCACATCTCCAGCATAGTTGAACACAACCACACAGTGGGCCAAATTGTCTGTGATGTAGATGCAGTAGGCCGAATCCACGGCCACCGAGACCGGGTAGGTCAACTGTGCGTGAAAACGTGCCAGTAATGTACCGGTCCACGTGTAGATATTGACACGCATGATCTGATTGGTTTGGGATCAATGGGCATACACTTATCGCAACGTGTAAATAAAATGGTAGTGACTTTGTTAGGACAAGAAAAGGAACTAAATTGAATAACAAGGTATATTTATATCAATATTGCCTCCACAACCAGCTGCTTGCTATTTAATCAGAAAAACTGGATCATGATGGTTGAGATGATCAAAAGGTTATGGTAACCACACAGATGTCTTGAGTTCTAATCCCGCTACCGCTACCACACATCGTTTCTTCTTGGGTTTATCGTCCCCCCCCCCACTCTCGAACAGGATTTTACTGGCTGTGGTTCCCTNCCCTTGCGGAAAACGGACCGCAACCATGGTTGTTGGTTAAATAAGAGGAAAAAAGAAAAAGACTTTGATCATAAGACGTTTACCAACAATGGTATACGGTGACTTCAAAGTACCGAATCACGACTACTAAAACCATGACATTATTCCAACTTTGAAGGTGTTCACACTTCTTTGGTTAGCAGATAACAATGTATTGTAGTGTAAACTGCTTGTACGTCCAAGTCCAAAATTGGTAGCTGAAAACTATCAATGTGACTTATCGATCAGTTGATCCTATACTGTAGAAAGGTCTCATTCATTGACAGTGAGACAAGTACTATCGATCGATAATTCTGCACACACGCACAGCTGAACGACGACATCGTACTTTGTAATTGGCATTCAAGAAGTATCTCCCATTCTGGACTATACATGAGCAACAACTAGAATATCGTTAATGGAACAGATTTTGAACAATGAGTACAAAATCAATAGCAGAAGAATGGTTTTCAGCTTTGAAAACAATTTAATAGTCACCGACTTCTCACCTTGTAGTCAGAAAACTCACCAAATTGAGTAGAGGGCCTAGATTCAAGTAACATCCATCTATACGGGGTCCCACTTTAGTAATATCAAATACGTAATTTATTCATTAATGGATTCTAACTAAATTGATTTTCTTGAGGAACGACCATTTATAGTTGGATTTTAAGGTCGCTCGACGAATAAGTTGTGGAAAGCATTTTCATATATCAATGATAATAATCGTTCCAATCAAACTGTTTATCCTATTTGTATGCAATCAATAATTCCGTCATAGAAAAGAAATAAAACGGTTAGAGAATGGCTGGACGCGGCTCATAGTTCATGCACTAATCGTGAATTCCGACGAGGGGGGAAGTTTCATTGAAAAGTCTTTTGGAATACATAGCTAACTTGTCCGGCGGATTTCACCGATGTCGTACAAACTGTCCGGAACAATCTGTTTCTGCTCATGTTGTGGGCGTATGCGAACTTGTAGGACGCTTACGTGGTTTACGGTTAACGTCCATCTGTGCTCACATTGAACATTCGCTTTTCTTGTTATGGACTGTTCTAATTCTCAGAATTCCAGAAGAATTTCGGAATTTTCCGGGTTTTGTTGATCACGGGAAAGCCTAAAAATAATTGGTACAGTCTGTTCGAGGTTCCATACACGAATGCCGACACGGCCACTCAGGCCAAGACTTCCTGATCAAAGCTCGCCCAATCGAAATATGTCACATCGCCCGTGTAAGGAGTACAAGTGAACATGAAAATTAGAAGGCCATCAATTCAGCCGCAACACTTGACGTGTACAGTGATTTTCCTAATGATATAAGTGTATATAGTTAGTATAAGTGTAATGTGAAAAGGCTACACTGCCCATCAATCAGCATCAGCTGAGCTATTTCAGTCCGATTAGTTAATTTGGCTATATGCATGCGCTGCCGGTTACATCCGGCCCAACATAGATAGATTCATTTAACCAGTCATGGTCATTATGTGATTACCGGAAATGCTATACTGACTTTTAACAATATCGATCTAAATGTATTAGAGCTGTCACTGTGCATCCGACCGTATTACGCGCGGCATTTACCCCCGTCCCATCGAACCGGCGACCGATCGTGTTCAGATTGTTTTCCGCTTGTGCAGACAATTCATATTTATTACGATTTTTCTTTTTTTTCATTTTTACTTCCTTTTATTGAATATACGAAGATACAATTTTCAGGAAGGGGGAAGCGGCCAATCAAAGGGCTGCCATACAACCCACAAATGGGCAAAGTCAGGCGGTGGTGGTGGGATTCGAGCACTCGCCCTCCGGGGTGATAATTTGGTGACGTTACCACCCGACCACCACTGCCCACTGCCAATCCAGTGGGTAAAATCAATGGCTGGTGGTCGCAAAACCAATAACCGCGATCATTTTTTGCTCCGACAGTTATCGAGACAAACTTGCAACTGGTATGACAGTCATTTGAGGCACAGGTGTCGCATTCGGGATTTGTTCAGTTGTTGCGATTGACAAAAAGACCAATAAGAATTGGCCAAGCCACGGACACAGCCAAACTCTAATGTAACAAGCCAGACTTATATTCAAAAGTATAAACCGTAAAGCGAATTGAATATTGAAAGTGCTACATACTTTCAATCGTCAGTTGGCATTTGATTTCAGAAACAATTCTGCGAGTATCAAACGACCCCATAATGAAATGCCCGAATCAGATCGTTTTTCCTACCTACGCATGTGCGACAAAAATGGACTTGTGTGCGACAACTGGTCATGTGAATAGGGAAATGACCGTGACCTTTCACGCCTGAAATACTGATATTTGTTACTCGATTATATGCCAGTAACCTTATCTGAACGATTGATTCGGTGTCCCTTGCAAACAGATCGTGCTCAATTAGTTTGTCTTTTAAATCGAATAAAACAGGCTGGAGCAAAAGGATATGTCTCAATTTATGATGGAAAACTCAGCTGTTGAAGGAGCACATTGCAACGGTCAAGCAGAATCAGAAAACTACATGACGGATAAAGAAAAAACAACGATAGTTGGAACAAACTTTTTATCATAGTTATTTATGTAATTGTAGCTCTAATCAATGCCAATCAAAAGATCTTTATTAATTTTGCTCATAGCATTCCCATGGGTAATTGATTCTGATGACCCATAAATAAATGTTCGTGCAGATAAGAAGCTAATTTGATCACATAATTAACAGTAAAGATACCACTGAGGCCTCGTGAATCGATTGAATACGTAACTGCGGTGCTGCTCTCAACCTGGTGACAACCTGATCTGGTGCGGTCGTGCAAGGCCAGTTATGTGTTGTTTCAGTAAAGATTTAGATTACTGTCACTGATTGACCCTAGAGGTTTTACTAAAGATAAGAGCGGAGAGTTACGAAGACCCGTAGTGCAGTGCGTCCCAGTTTCAGGTGGCATAATCCACTTACGTACTCTAGCTTGGTTGTTGTTATTGGCAACTTGTCTTCATAATCAACGAACGGAGAGAAAGAGAAGGTAAACGTGCGGCTGTCTGGGTCTCATCAACATAGAGTTACAAATCTGAGCAAACTTAGACCTTTATACTCACATATATCAGTCAAATTTTTCACGTTTTAGATAAAAACGGGCCAGGGATGTGTGTAAAATATCCCAACCAGAANCCATGGAAACAGCGGTGTTGGAATGTAAATAGTCACCACTCTCAACCCTCCAGCGTAGACATTGACTCTAGCAACGATACTATTCGTAGTCTTGCTACTACTTCAATCGAGAGTTGTTCACTAGGATGTTTGTATACTTACTCTGTTGTTTTTGAAATTTTGTGGCAAGTGTACCCATTACTATTACACGGTCCTACAAACATCTAAAACTAGTCAAAGAAGGTTCATTACACTCAATGGGAACTCAGATAAGCGGCAAAGTATTGCCGGCGTTTAGTACTACTTGGTTACACATCTGTTTCCCTAACGTTAGAAGATGGGGCCACTTAGTAAAGATGACAACAGAAGTTGTGCAGAAAGTGAAAAAGAGAAACTTTTGTGGCATCTTTGAAGTACGATGCGACTGATCAAGAAAACGGCAGCGGTCAGAATGAAAATCACAAAAATGGTGAGCTTAAAATGAGAATACTGTTATTTCAGAATTCGACAAACAGCGACAGTACGCTCCATTCAGCCTCGATCGCGTCCGGAAGAATTTGATACTGCTTACTTCCGGCAGAAAGTCAGAGAAGTACATGGATTCGGAGGGAACCATTGGGGTCAGGGCGATTGGTCTAAGGTGGTGAATACCGAGACAGTGAAAAGCCGATAGGTAAATTGGGGTCAGTCAGTTAGTGAATGCACAGAAACGCTCCACAAAGTAACATCAGTATCAGGTCGATGAGTAAGCAGAAAATATAGCCTCCGTTCATCGAGGGTCGGATCTATCTGGTTGAAGATAAAACTGTGCAATCATACATGACGAGAGAGAGAACAAACCTTGAAGATTTTCGTTCATTTGTTTATGAAGTATGGGTAAATACTCACACCATCGAGAAGAACCACGCAGCAATAAGGTGGATCTGAAAAGAAAACAGAAGCAGCTTCCTTCATTCAATCTACTGCTGTTAACATTCTTTTCAACTTCAGAATATTATGGTTGCATTTTCGCCAGATAGTCATCTTTTGTTTCGGGTTTGAGTTCAACCTCTTTTCGGTGTTCGCTTTTTTCTCTGCATGCTAAGTGAGCAGCATATTTGCGATATAAAAATTTGTCTCCATTGGGATCGATGAGTTTTGCGTACCACATTTTGTGCCTCTGCCGGGAATCGAATAGTGAACTTTGTGATGGTGAGCCCAAAGGCCCCCCCCCGCTCAAGGAACTGAGATAAAGAACAGGGACAAAATAAGGGCACTATTGACGAGTACTGGCTAAAATGAATCAGAAAGCTGATGATTTATGTCAGCTGGAGTGAAACCGTTAACAAATTATTGAAAATCAGTTCTCGTCGCAAAAGTAAACTGAATTCATTTTCGCATGTTCTCTGAGCTTAGCTTTTTCACATACAGTTCATCACCAGCCCAGATGACATATTGTGGAATGGCAGTGTTCTGCTTGTACCTGTTGGTTTGTGTGTGCTCTTCTCCAGTGACATTTTCATTCCTTTTCCTCCCTGTGTTCGACCTGG